CAGACAGACAGACAGACAGACAGACAGACAGACAGACACACACACACACACACACAGACACAGACACAGACACAGTGTTTTATCTTTATAGTCTGATCAAGAGAAGACAGTAAAACATGTCTTCAGATAATCATGCTGACTTATGTTTGTTGCAAATTGTTTTTTGTAATGCTTATACATTTATAAAAATGGACAACTGTTTTCTTGTCATTTTACTGTTAACATGACAAAACTGTGCTAATCTGCTAAATTAAACCATGTGACAAGTGCTCTACCTAAAATAAACCAGTGTTATTATTAACTAAAACTATTATAAAGTCATTTTTTATTCTAATAAAGCTGAAATAAAATATAAATATTAGATAAAAAAAAAAACCCTGACTTGGCGACTAACAAAATAAGTTTAAATTGAAGTACTAAAATTACTAAAACTAAAATAAATAATAAATTAAAGTTAAACAGAAATATAAACAATAATAAAAAAGCATGTAACAAAATGATTAAATTTAAAATTAAAATGAAAACTGAAAATATAAAATGAAAATCTTTCTAAAAAAATATATAATAAATTATTAATAAATATAAACAATGGTATATAAATAATACATAAACACTGAAATAAACAAAATAGAAGCGTACCGTATATACCTAATTAGAAATGTTGCCTTTGTGACTAAATTAAATAAATGTAAGTACTAAAATGACTAAAAATAAAACTGAATTAAAGTTAAAGAGAAACATAACAAATTTATAAAAATGGCAAATGCACAAAATTACTTAAAAAAAAAAGTAAAATATAAAAATAAAAGTGAATTCAAATTATTAATGAATATGATAACAGTATTATGAATAATACTAAATTAACACTGAAATAAACAAAACAAAAGTGTACCATGCATCCTCATTACAAATACTGCCTTGGTGACTAACGGAAATAAAATAAGTTGAAGTTGAAGTACTAAAATTACTAAAAATTAGACATATAAAATAAAGCAATAAGCCCCAAGAAGCCGTGCTTTACAGTGAATTTATAACAGCTAAAGGGGGGGAAGTTAGGATGAGATCTGTTTTATTAGTAGTAACAGTAGTAATGTAATAGAAATTATAAATGTATCTACCAAAGGGTTACAAAATAAAACAAAATTACAGCTTATTTCTGCATTTCCGGCAAAATTATCTCCCCCCATTCAGTGCATGGTTTCGTCCCGTCCTGCGTAGCCTAGAGTCACGAGTGAGATCAGACGGTAAACTGTCAAATTAGAGATGTCTTCAAATCGAGGAGAGGGGGGGGTGCAAACCGAGCCGGACGATTTGGTCACTCGCACTTTTAAACACATTTTAGTTTTGCTATAGAAAATCTACAAATTCATACTCTGATTACACAGAGCAGCAGCAGGAAGCTCGTGAGGTTGTCATGGCAACCCATACACTGCACACGAATTATGGCTGCTCTTCTATTTTGCCACGCTAAACTTAGCAATAAACATGTCTGTCAAAACGATCTCAAAGGAGGCTGAATTACTCATCCACGGTTTAAAAAAAAAAACTCTAGCTGGGTTTCCACAGGCAGGGTCACAATTATCTACAGTGTATGACGCTAACGGTTTTTGGGTTATGGTTCATAATGTAGAACGTTTTTAACATCGTATGCTGTATGTGCATAGGTAGCTAACAAACAAGGAATATAGTCACATTTAGCTGAGTAAGATCATGATTGAGAAATGTTGGATACTGCTGGTGTTATGGGCTATCCTATTTATTATTTTAGGATTTTTTTGTTTGCCCCAGTGAAGCATTTCTATTAATATAGCTGATTAAGTAATCAAACTCATTCCATATCAGCAGAATAGTGTGGTACAGAAAGTCTATGTCCATAAAACAGGTTCTGAATGAATTATGTTACTGATACCTAATGGTCAAAAGCAATAGCAAAAGTAATAGGTCAATATTATTAAACTGCAGACGAAGATTTTGAATAGCTAGGCTTGCTTGTACACTATATTGCCAAAAGATTGCCCTTCTAATGAACAGGTTTGACTACTTTAGTAATTTCCATGAGTACAAATCTGAATGTTTAAGCATATAATGATATTCTAGAGAATTGTGTGCTTCTAATTTTATAGCAACAGTTTGAACAGGACCCTTTTCTATTCTAACATTACAATGCCTCAGTGTAAGGCAAGGTAAAAAAAAATTGATTAGATTGACTGGTCTGCAGAAAGCCAAGTCCTAATCCCAGCTGAACACCTCTGCTGTGACTTTAAATGCAGACCTCGAGCCAAAAACTCATCACCAAACACCTGTGACTTGTAGATATGCGTACAATCATTTTAGACACTTCCAGAACTGTTGCAACAGAGATGGAAATACAATTTTTAAATACATGAATTATGTTTTCCATCTTTGTAGCCACAGTTTTGGAAGTGCCCTTTTCTGTTCTAAAGAAGGGGGTGTCTCAATACTTTTGTCCATGTATAGTGTACGTACAAGTCACAGGTGTTTGGTGATGAGTTTTTGGCTCGAGGTCTGCATTTAAAGTCACAGCAGAGGTGTTCAGCCTTATACACTGAGGCATCATGTTAGACATGAGTGTAACACAAATATATTAATCATATATCCTTCTTTTAGATAGGAAACGTGCGTGTGTACCTGGTGTCTCAGCGCCACTGGATGTGTTGATGGTCCAGCTGGTGAACACACTCCCTGTCCATCCCGGATGACCTCTGACCTCCACCGGCCATCCCAGAGACAGCAGCAGCTCTAGAAAGTGTGGCTGTACGTTTGCAGACGACTCCACGTTCCTCAAGATCTGCACACACAAGCTCATTATTATTAAAGCACACCTGTGACACCAGCTGCATTCCTGCTGTAGGAACTAGTGCACTTTCACAGCAGGACACTCGTCAGGTTTCACCTCTTGGCTGCTCTTCTGTCCAGCTTTCATGTAGAAGATAAACACGGTGTCACACGGCCGGGACGGCAACAGGTCCAGGTAGCCGACGTCGTCGAAAAAGCCCGGCACAGACGAGTCCAGAGCGATGAGATGAGGAGGCAGTCGACTGTTTCCAGGCTCCTGAGAGAACACACACACACACACACACACACACACACACACACACACACACACAAAGGACCGGCTAGATTTAGGGCAATGCTTTTCCCTGAAGATAGGAAATGTGTGTTTTATAAAAAATAAAATCACAAATGCTGTGTGATATTGTTTAAAAATAGCTTTCATGTAGAAGATAAACACGGTGTCACACGGCCGGGACGGCAACAGGTCCAGGTAGCCGACGTCGTCGAAAAAGCCCGGCACAGACGAGTCCAGAGCGATGAGATGAGGAGGCAGTCGACTGTTTCCAGGCTCCTGAGCACACACACACACACACACACACACACACACACACAAAGGACCGGCTAGATTTAGGGCAATGCTTTTCCCTGAAGATAGGAAATGTGTGTTTTATAAAAAATAAAATCACAAATGCTGTGTGATATTGTTTAAAAATATTCTTATAATAAATTTTTTTTAATTTACATAATTGTACACAATATTTCGCAAAAACTAATTTCAAAGTATGTAATTGGAACTGATCCAAAGGAAGAGCTGAAATGCTGAAAACCTCAAAAATACTGGCCCTTCACTAACAGAGACATTGGATGCTAACATGTTACGGTCTGTTCTCGTACCTTGAGCGCCTCTAGTGACAGGAAGCCGAAGTGCGACAGGAAGAGGCGGGCCGTCTGAAACTCTTGAGCGGGAGCCGGCGGTTTACAGTCTGTCAGCGGGTCTGGGAAGGGTTTGTTCCTCCATAACTCCTCCGTACAGTGCTCCAGTTTCGTCTCGTAATCGATCTGCTTTCCCATCACGGCTCGCAGCTTATCGTGCTGCTGCTCCAACTGAAACACAAATACAAGACGACTGTAAGTGTGACTCTCTGAAAAACACTCACATACTGAGCAGTGACATGTTTCATAATCATGTGAATCATGAGGTGCACAGATTGTTGGAACGCTTCTTTCCATGTAGTTGCTACCCATAACTGATATCATGGAGAAGTCAAACAGTATTAAAATGTTTTAAACAGCCATTCAGATGCTATGATGTTTTGGCACCAAGTACTAATATTTAAGTCAAGTCGAATCACCTTGATTTCTATAGTGCTTATATAATATTGACTGTTTCAAAGCAGCTTCACAGTAATAAACAGGAACATCAACATCACCAAATATGAAAAAGTCAATTTCTGTCATTATTATTATGCAATTTTTATTAAAGGCTATTTCTATTAAAGGCTTAATGGGCTATTTATTTTCAAACATTTGTTTAGACCAGTGTTATTAAGATACTATTAACGTTTAAAAATATATATTTTTATTGAATTTTAGTAAAAGTTGTGTTTTTTTGTAATTTTTATTAGTTTTTTTTATATAGCTTTTAATATATTTTTTATTTCAGTTTTAGCTTCAGTTAAATTAAATGAAAATGTGAAAAGTAAGCTTGGCAACATGCTGAAGTGAAAAAAGTTTTTCATATATTTTATTTCAGGTTAAGTTTATTTTATTTTAAAGTAACGTGTTTTTTATGGTTTTGGTTTTAGGTTTAGCTTCATTTAACTATAATAACCCTGGTTTATATTTAAAAAATTGTAACATTTCAATTAGGACTAAAACATGACTGAACTGAAAATGTTCTGAATCTTTATTATTGTTAAATATATTAGTGTTACTTTACACTTAAATCTGTTCGGAACATATGTTTACTTGATACATTTCACCTCTTTAATCTGGACTAAAGCATGCTATTTAAAGTCTCTTTGTAATGGTTGAAAATGTTCTGATTCTTTATTATCTTTGTATTTTATGTTGTTTCCTTGCAATTTTATCTTTCAATGTACTTTCTGCTATAACTAAATCTCAGTATTTCTAAGCAGAAAAGTAAATAAACTTCAAACTTTATTATTGTTTATTTGCACTTTAATCTGTTTGAAACCTTTGTGTACTTTATAATTTTATGTGTGTGCTGTTTTATGGTTTTAATGTATATAAATGCTTCTATAAGAAGTTACTAAATTGTTATCAAGAGGGCAGCACTTATTTTTTTCTTAACTTAATTCTATACGGTGATAAAAGCTTCAGAAATTATCATGATGTGAAAACTTGATACCCTTCACATAGCAATGTCAAGTGTGTAATACGAAAGCTAACACAGTGTTCGGAGGCTTTTTTACCTCCTTATCCACAATGTCATGGAGATCCGGGATGCTCAGGTCGGCTTTCACGAACGGAATCTTATCCACTTCCTCCGGGAACGGCCTGTGCTTGACGTTAAACCGAATCCCTACATCGTTCTTGGGAGCCGGTCGGTTTTCAGGAACAAACACTTGCTGTAGGACATAAAGAGACCAAGTATAATCATAACACTGCTCATCACATGTGCTGAATGAAATCCAATACCCGTTTCTTACTCCTTTTGGGTGTCTGTTTTGCTCGAGCCTGTCACAATTTCTCGCAAAATATGTGAATATGTTCATAGCATTTTTGCTTTTGATAATCATTTGCAAGGTGAAGCAGTCTAGCATTACTCCTTAATCAGCAGAAAAACACCACAAATGCATGATTCCTGTCTTCATCTGAGCCAGATTACAATGATTTGTTCAACTCTCAGCACATTTTCACACGCATGACATTATTTGATGCCTAATCCTGATCTCAAGGTTAGAATTACGGCCAGAGACAGAAGAAAATGCAAACCTGAGCCTGATCTTTTCCGCTTCATCTGTGGGTGTTTTACATCCACACAGCCACAGAAAATTACAGATTTTATGAAAAAGCTTATTTATTTCTAAACTTCTATTTATGTTTTTTTTTGGCATTAAATTGAGTATTTAAACAGATTTTTCCACTGCTTTGCAGATTACAGGTGAAATTGTGCATTTTAAATACTCTCTTTTGACAGCGGACTGCTTTGTTATTGATAAATCTTAATTTTTATGTTGTATGTTGTAATAAATAAAAGTCATTTTTAATAATATTTTTGAACTCAGCATAATCAAATTAGGAAACGGGCCTTTTTTGCAAATCAGCTGAATTGTCAAGATGCAAATCATTCCCAAATACTAAATCTGAGAAGCCACATTCTCTCACAGGCCATTTTAATAGCTTCTGATTGGCTACTGAAAGCACATCTACGTTCTGATTGGTGGTTGAGCTTGCGTCTTACCTTCTGATTGGCTCTTGCTCCTCGAGGCTGATGGAAGAGCTGCATTGTCCACGCGTGTCGACCGGACATGCCTCTGATTAACATGGTGACTGACGGACAGGGGTCTGCTGACACAAACGCATTGATAAGAAATCAGAGTTGAAATGTACCGGAGGAATGAGAGGTGAAGCGTGTCGCTCTCACTCTGCTCGTTTCCCAGCGGCTGCTCCAGCATGGCCAGAATGACGGAGTTATCCAGAACGAAGTATCTGAAGTTGCTGTGGGATGTGGAAGTGAGTCGGGAGTATTTGATCAGCGTGTCTTCATTCAGCAGACTGCAGGGCGACGCGGGGCCGCTGGGAGACGGGAACGCACCCAACACCTGCATTATACTGAAACACACAGCGACACAAATCAGAGGCGGGCTTAAAGGAGAAGTCCACTCCCAGGTAATTAACACACCCCCATGGTATCCAAGATGTTCATGTCTTTCTTTCTTCAGTCGCAAAGAAATTAAGTCTTTTGAGGAAAACACTCCAGGAATTTTCTCCATATAGTGGACTTCAGTGGTGCTCAACGGATTGAAGGTTAAAAATGCAGTTTCAATGCAGCTTCAAAGAGCTCTACGCGGAGGAATAAGGGTCTTATCTAGCCAAACGATCAGTTATTTTCTGAAAAAATATATATTTATATACTTTTTAACCACAAATGTTCGGCTAGCATTAGCTCTGCGATGCACGTATTTATTAGGTGATGTTGGAAAGATCCGAACCCGAAAATACTGGATGCACTTGGCCGGAAAACCGAACTGCTTTGTAATAATTATTTATTATTTTATTAAATAATATAAAGTAATTTTGTAATACTTTTTAATTTTAACTCAATAATTTTATTGATACTCAATTTAAAAAACACAAGCCAATAAAATAACCACACTTTTACTGAAAGTAACACAATAAAACTGGACAGAATTTATATTAATATATGTAACACTTCACAATAAGGTTCATTAGTTAACTTTAGCTAACATGAACTAAGAATGCTCTTCAGCATTTATTAATCTTAATGTTAATTTCAACATTTACTAATGCATTATTAAAATCAACAGTTGTGCCTGTTAACAGTTAATGCACTCTGACTTAACATGAACTAACAGTGAACAACTGTATTCTCATTAACTAACATTAAGAAAGATTAATAAATACTGTAATAAATGTGCTGTTCATTGTTCGTTAATAAATATATATATATATATATATAACTTATATATCTTATAAGTATAAGATATACTTCCGCTAATATCAATATATTATTTTTAATCACTTCGATGTAACAATTAAATTTTTTTATTTTTTTTTTAATCGTTGGCCACCATTGAAGTCCGCTATATGGAGAAAATTCCTGGAATGTTTTCCTCAAAAAACGTAATTTCTTTGCGACTGAAGAAAGAAATACATGAGCATCTTGGATGACATGGGGTGAATAAATGACCAGGAATTTTTATTCTGGAAGTGGACTTATCCTTTAAATGTCACAGGAGAGAAATCAGTGGTGGTTTATGAGAGACGCTCACCAGGATAACGTGGCCTCAGCAGCTTCTTTGACCCTCATCGACGCCGGGTTGTGCTCTTTGTCACCTTTGTACTTCACTTCCTGTTCGCCGGTTTTGGACTTACTGCCCGAGATGCCGAGCTCGACAATTTCCAACACCTCGATCAGACAATCCTTAAAGGCACGATACAAACGAATATGATACAAGACTGTGATCATTAACTTAAACAGATTAAATCTTAAAGACTAAAAAACAGATGAGTGGCCAAAACAACAACAAATCTCTATTTTTCAGACTTTTAATTCAAATTTGATAAATATCCTGATATTTATTCATTTAAACATATGTGACCCTGGACCACAAAACCAGTCACAAGGTAAAAATTTTTGTTAGGATCGGACAATATTTGGCTGAGATACAACTATTAGAAAATCTGGAATCTGAGGGTGCAAAAAAATCTAAATATTGAGAAAATCATCTTTAAAGTTGTCCAAATGAAGTTCTTAGCAATGCATATTACTAATTTAAAACTTTGTTTTGATATATTTACAGTAGGAAGTTTACAAAATATCTTCATGGAACATGATCTTTACTTAATATCCTAATGATTTTTGGCATAAAAGAGAAATGTATAATTTTGACCCATACAATGTATTGTTGGCTATTGCTACAAATATCCCCCAGCGACTCAACACTGCTTTTGTGCTGCAGGCTCACATATTATACTGTTAAAAAACAGTGAAAATCTGATTAAAATTCAAGGCGTTTTCCACTAATTATTATTATTTTTAATATATGCACCTATACATAAAGCATGCTACTGTTAATAAGTGTGGGGTCAGTAAGATTTATTTTTTAAAGAAAAAAAATACTTTTATTCATTAAGGATGCATTAAATTGCTCAAAAGTAACAGTAAAGACATTCATAACATTACAAAAGATTTCTATTTCAAATAAATGCTGTTCTTTTCATCTATCTATTCATCTGTGAATCTTGAAAAATAAAATGTATTGCAGTTTCCACAAAAATATTGTGCAGCGCAACTGTTTTCAACATTGATAATAATCAGAAATGTTTCTTGAGTAGAAGAATATTAGAGTGATTTCTGAAGATCATGTGACACTGAAGACTGCATTAATGATGCTGAAAATTCACAGCAATAAATTAAATTTTTATAGATTCATAGAAAACAGCTATTTGAAATTGTTATAATATTTCACAACTTTTACTGTATTTAGTATTTCTACTGTACTGCTGAGCAGAAGAGACTTCTTAGAGGCGTGAAAATAAAGCTAAACAAGAAGAGCATGTGAATCTCACTGCTGCTCTATTTAATAGACAAACCAAAAGTGGTATGAAATCATCACAATGTTTCTTGATTTCATTAGTGCATCTTGCACGTTTAAGCAGCCTTAGGCAATAGTATTTATCATTGAACTAAATGACATTTGGCAGGAGACATAAACTGGAAGTTAAATATTGTAAAGCGGCTGCTGATGTGGAAGTCTGATTACAATCGCAAGCTTTGTTTTTGGCTTCCTTACCAATCGCTGGTGCTCAAGTTTCAGCATTTACAGCCTCTGAAACAGCTGAAGCTGAGGTCAGGCGGGACGTACCTTCTCATTGAGCATGTCGGGGTGCTCTGTGAGCCAGACGCACAGGCAGTGGAAAGCAGCGACGATCATGGAGTGCAGATCTCTGGAGTGAAGCGGAGCCGGACGACTGCACTGATACACGATATAACTGCACACGGAGCTGACGGCACGCTTACGATCCGACGACTCCACGCTCACCTTCACCTGGACGACAAACAAACAAACATGCATTTTACTCAGAACTACAAAAAGATGGAAAAGTGGTCCAAAAGTGGAATAACTATGATTTTTCGATGTTTTCGAAAGAAGTCTCATGCTCACCAAGACTGCATTTATCTGATCAACAAATGCAGTAAAATTGTGAAATAGTATTACAATTTAAAACAGCCATTTTCTATGTGAATCTATGTTAAACTGTAATGTATTTCTGTGATACGCAGCTGTATTTTCAGCATCATTCCTCCAGTCTTCAGTGTCACATGATCTTCAGAAATCAGTATAATATGCTGCTGCTTAACAAACATTGAACACATTGAAAACATGAAAACATTATTCCAAAATTTTTGTGGAAACCGTGATGCATTTTATTTTTCAGGATTCTTTGATGAATAGAAAGTTGAAAATAACAGCATTTAGAAATAAGAAATAGAAATCTTTTGTAACATTATAAATGTCTTTACTGTCACCTTTGAGCAATTTAATGCATTCGTGCTAAATAAAAATATTGATTTATTTTCTTATTTTTTCTTTTAAGTCTTACTGACCCCAAACTTTTGAATGGCAGTGTATCACAATTTCTAAAAAAATATGAAGCAGCAGAATGGTTTTCAGCATTGATAATAATCAGAAATGTTTCTTGAGCAGCAGATCAGCATATTATACTGATTTCTGAAGATCATGTGACACTGAAGACTGGAGGAATGATGCTGAAAATACAGCTTTGAAATCACAGCAATAATAAATCAATAAGCCCTAATAAGCCGTGGTTTACAGTGCATTTATAACAGCTTATGAGTGACTAAAACCCTTTTAGCTGCTATAAATTCACTGTAAACCACGGCTTCACGGGGCTTATTGCTTTTATAAAACGGTTATTCCATATACGTAGTAAGGTTTCACAAAATAAAACAGAGCAAATAAAGTGTAATGATATTAATAAAAACAGTATTCTTCCACCAAACAATGTAGCTCCTCAGAAACAGTTGTGGTTGCTACAAAGTGGTAAACACAAACGTAAACAAAGGTGTATGTTCCTTAGTAATTTACAACAGCTTTGAACAACCAATCAGAATCAAGGACCGGAACTCTCTGTTTTATAAATACAAATATAAAGCTGATTGTGTCAGCGTACCTTGGCGAGGCCAGCCAGCAGCTCGAGGGCAGCCAGTGAGATGCTCATGTCGAGTCTCCACTGAGAGTTGAGTCTCTGGGTGAGCAGGTGGATGCTGCGGATCAGCAGCCCAGCCGCTGTGTCTGTGTGGAGAGCTGGGATATAACACACAGCACGCCGCAGACAGCGGGTTAGTAACACACACACACACACCAGACGCAAGCCAGGCACAGAGATGCAGCCGTAAACCATACACATGAACACAGACGAGCACAAGAACATGTTATCGCTCGCTAGTCACAGACACTGATGATCTAGTCCAGCGAAATCATAATAACAGAGCCGCGTTATGACGTCATGCTTTGAAAATAAACAGAAGCATTCATTATACAGAACCCAAACTGGTTAAAGACATTCCACGCGAGCCGCACTTTAAAGAAATATCCATTCACATTCACTTGCAGACAGGCATTTTAAAATGTGCCAGTGGTGAAGCATCATTGCACTGCATTTTAGTCATGCTATTGTATTGTTTTGTGTTTAATGGTGCTATATAAATAAAATTGACATTAAAATGCACCATTAACATGTTTGACAAACACCATGCTACTTCTACAACATGCATTACATCACATTCCTCGGATGCACTTTATAAATGCTTTAAAAAGAAAAGGGTGACACTTGGTACCTTCACGGTCAAAAGAGATCAAAACCTTAAAATACAAGCTTTTTTGTTTTAATCAATGTCATGTATTTTTGTTCAATAATACTTTTTTTATTATATATCAGAATTTTTGGGAGATTTGAGCTATTTTTTTTTCCACGTACAAAGTTTCTTCAAAGGTACTAAGTGTTACTTTTTTATTTTTTGACTCTTTATCATATCCGAACCATGTCTGTGATATTTTTGTGTTCACGTATCTAATGCGACAGAAGTCACAGATTAAGCAAAAAAATCAAAAATGCAAAAAAATTCTAATTTAAAAATTCAAAATGTTAATTTTTTCAGTCAGTTCCGACTAAAGAGGCCCAGAGGTCTAGACAAAAAAATGGGGATTGTTTACATATTGGCTAGTTTATGATACGTTTAAGGTGCTTTTATGATATTTTATGCTTTCTAGGGCAGTCAAAAAAAAAATCGAATTTCGAATATCCGTCGAATTTAAAATAAAAATCCACATTCTAATTTTAGGTTTGCGTCAGGCAGCCTTATCAGTGGAGCACGAAATGCGATAATGTAAATGTCATTGCATTGTAATGTTTTTGTTAGCTTATCCAGTTGAAGCCACTAGATGCGGCACTGCTGCGTTGTTCATTCAAAATATTGCGGAAAAAGAGAACATCAATGCGGAGATGTTGTTTACGTCAAAACTGAAACCAAGCCATTCACACAGAACACATATTTATCGCATTTTCTAGAGGGACATCTATCAGCGTTGCACTCGCGTCTCGCACAAGAGTGCCACATGTTTAGAAAGCCACGTAAAATGAATGCAAGTTCAACTTTTAAAAAACATGTCTCAAGACTTTATGGCGGTTTTTCCCCATCCCACTGCAACTCATGTTTTTAAATGAATAAAGTACTCTTTGTGATTGGTTTTCGGTCCTTTGTATTATATTAACTATGCATACATACATGATGCTGTTTTGTTTCTAATTGTTTAAGCACCTTTATTAATTATATATGGTTTATAAACATTATTTTAAACATTATGCACTTTTTTCAAAGATAGACCTGTTATTTAATTGCTTTGCGTAAACGTGCATTAGTAATATTTTGCTCGATGCGCCCTCTTGTGGTCTCAGGAGAGACGCAAAACCTTTCTTCCCCCCTAACTGAAATTATGCATTTTAAATTCTAGTATAATTCGAATATTGATAATATTTAAGTATAAAATTCGAATTTCGTTTTTCAGCCATTTTGACAGCCCTACTGCTTTCACTGAACGGAAAGAGCAGCGTGAATGTTCTCCAAAATGTCTTGTGCCCCACAAAAAGAAGTTGATATGGTAAATGTGAACGCACAATATAAAAACAGGATCATTTATAGAATCACTATGAGTTGATTAATCTTGGCATTGCTGGATTAATTAAATGGGTGAAATCTTATTAAGCTTTTACATTTATGAATTTAGCACACACTTTTATGCAAAGCGGCTCAAAGTTAGAGGTTCAAACGGCTCTAATGCATCGGTCGGTTGTGCACAGTGTCCCTCTGGGCTTACCGTAGTCCCTCATCAGGGCCTGCGCGGGGCGTTCGCTGTCTGGAGTCGTAGCCTCGGAGCTGCCTGCGCTAGCGTTGCTGATGCCGCTGTTATTACGACTGTGGCTCTTAGCCAGAGAATGGCTTCCGTCCACGCTGCCCTACACAGCACAGACACAATGGCATTTTTAACTGGTGAACTGTGATTACTCTTCATCTGCATATCACCTCGCTGACACTTCAAATCTACTTCAAGCTCTCTCTGAACTCATTGTGTTCATAAATAAATAAATAGAAAATCGTACCACTTCAGCTTGAGCACCAACAGACTCCAACAGAGCCGAATCCTGGACGATATTCAGCATCGCCGCTGTAAAAACAAACACACACGCAATTATTATTGACACTTATCACTATTAAATGTGCAAAAATCAACAACTCAGAAAAGAGTGATTTTAAAATCACTACATAATCTTTCTATGGCTTATTGCTTCTATTAAAATAATGTAATAAAAATAATATGGTTAATACGATTAATTAGCTTTTATAAGTAGTAGTATATATTTATTTAATGCCATGTCAGCATCAAAGGCTATTTTCATGGCAAAAACAGTTTATTACAAATATAACAAATACAATAAAAACCAACAAACAAACACAAGTTATATCACACAAGATTTTTTATTAGCTTTTATAAAATATTGTAACAACAAAAATAATATGATTATTACTATTTTGTATTCTTAAACAATAATATAAAACATTGGTAAAATTAACTTTTATAAAATAATGTAAGAATAATCATAATTATCATCACTATTATTATTATGTTAATATAATTACATATTAATATAGTTAATTATTTTTTATAAAAATGTCATTATTATTATTCTTATGTTTCGAATCAAATAATATAAAATATTAATATAGTTAATTATATTTATAAAAATTTAATATTATTATTATTATTCTTACGTTTCTAATCTAATAATATAAAATATTAATATAGTTAATTCGTTTTTATAAAATAATTTAACAATAATAAATAAATAATAATAACTAACAATAATAATAATTATACTTTTTGAATACAATAATATAAAATATGAATATGGTTAATTAGCTTTAATAAAATATTGTAACAATTATAATAATATGATTATTATTACTATTATAATATAGTAATATTATATTACTATAATAATATGAAATATTAGTATAAATAATTAACTTTTATAAAATAATGTATTAATAAACAACAACAACAACAACAACAACAACAACAACAACAACAACAACAATTGAATACAAAATATTAAAACGGTTAATTAGCTTAACTAATGGCTGGTGGACATTTTTATATGAGTTCAGTCACAAGTTTGTGTATATCAGGTATCAAGGTTTTGAACAAGGCTCATCCAATCAGGTTTTAGAGCCTGAACTATGTTTTACAATATTTCAGTAAATGGACATATTGATCAGACGCCGTACCTAGTATCATCTGTGTATTGATCGAGTCTGTCTCTGTTTGCAGGGCGCCAATCAAAATATTGACCAATCGCAGCTTCAGGGAGAGGAAGGTGACCGCCTTGTCATGAAGAGAGTTGTCATCATTGCTGAATTTCCCCTCCAACAGAACCTGCAAATGCAATCAGAACCACAGCCTATTAAATTAGTATTTTTATCTCGGAGTAAATTACTAAATGTGACCCTGGACCACAAAACGAGTCATACGGGTCAATTCGAAATTGAGATAATCTGACAATCTCAAAGCTGAATAAATAAGCTTTCCATTGATGTATGGTTTGTTAGGAGAGGACAATATTTGGCTGAGATGCAACTATTTGAAAATCTGGAATCTGAGGGTGCAAAAAAATTGAAATATTGAGAAAATCATCTTTAAAGTTGTCCAAATGAAGTTCTTAGCAATGCATATTACTAATCAAACATTAAGTTTTGATATATTTACGGTAGGAAATGTACTAAATATCTTCATGGAACATGATCTTTACTTAATATCCTAATGATTTTTGGCATAAAATAAAAATCTATAATTCTGACCCATACAATGTATTTTTGGCTATTGCTACAAATATCCCCCAGCGACTTAACACTGCTTTTGTGCTCCAGGCTCACATATGCTAATGCCAGATCTGAAGCTTTTCACCTCTGATTTGACGTTGCCAAAGTGGTGAGGAAGAGGAAGCATGGACAGCAGGATATGGATGGAAGCTCTTCTCAGCTCAGTGGGGTTCACGTACGACTTAAACTTAGACAACTCTCTGTTGGCGCAGAATAAACATGCATTAAAAATTGAGCGTGTAGACATATCTTGGATCCGATTTCTCAGAAATCAGAAAGCATTGCTCACCGATCCGGTAGGATGGTCTCCAGCGCAGATATGAAGTAAGGAACCACAACATTGATCCCTTTGAGATCGGAGCAGAACAGAGCCGAAGAGTTGAGGATGATGCTGGCTAAAACCGGCCTGCAGATGAAGTCCGATATCTGAAGACCCTGGATGAGGACCATGTAGAACCTAACAGAACCATCAGATACAGAACACAGGTTCATTTGTTTGGTTACACTAGCGGTCAAAAGTTTGGAATAATTACTTATGCTTGCAGAGGTTGCATTTATTTAGTCAAAAATACAGTAAAAATTGTGAAATATTATTATCATTTAAAATAAGTGTTTTCTATGTGAATATATTGTAAAATGTCATTTATTTCTGTGATCAAAGCTGAATTTTCAGTGTCACATGATCCTTCAGAAATCATTCTAATATGCTGATCTGCTGCTCAGTTATTAGCAATTATTACTTGTGCTCAATTATTAATAATGGTTCTTACTACCATCAATGTTGAACATTTGTGCTGCTTCATATTTTTGTGGAAACTGATATTTCAGGATGTTTAGATGAGCAGAATGTTCAAAAGAACAGCGTTTTTATACTGATAACACTTCAATTCTTTATGTATAATGCATTATACTAGGGCTGCACGATTATGACAAAAATCATAATTGTCGATTATTCCCTTGAAATTGTAATTGTGATTATTAATTACGATGATCACAATTTACATTGAATGAGGTTTATACCATTGTTTGATGCAACTGCATGCAGTATTTTTATATTAATTTTAGTGCTTTTCTATAGCATTAAGCCTCAAATGTCAAATATACATTGGATTGGTTTCTTCTTTAAATTATATAAAAAGTAAAAATATGAATGGTATTATAATGTTATACTAAAACTAAAACAATGGAAAAACCCTGAACATGTAGAAAGAACGATTATGTAATTGTGGCATCCATAATTGTAATTGCAATTAAAAATTTGATTAACTGTGCAGTCCTACATTATATCTTTTCATAAATGACTATAAGTTAAAATGCATAATAATATTTGAAGGTTTGTTTTTCATGTGCTGTAATGAATTACACTTTCTAAAGGTGTAACAATGAATATCCAGTTATTATAATATATTAGAACAGTGGTTATAGTTTTTCATGAGATCATGCAATGCTTTATAAGGTGCGTTACAAGCCATATTTAATGCATTAAAACTACTTTTATGATGCATTATATATAAAGGCGTTAGGTAAAGCGTTACTGAAATATTTTATAACATTATAAATGTCACTTTTGATCAATTTATTGTGTCCTTGCTCTTTCTTTTAGTTAATCTGTTTCAAATAAATCCAGCCTTGGTGAGCAAAAGAGACTTCTTTCAAAAACATTTTGAGTGTAATGACTGAGGACGTGATTCGTTGGGAACAGCTAGTGATTACCTGGACAGGTACACTGGAAGAATGTCCTCTCCAGTCTTCTTACTGCAGAAGATCCTGCACAGCGTCCCACACGCTTCGGCTCGCCCCGACTCGTAATTATCAGGAAAGTCATTGGCGTCGAACATTGGGTTGGACACCATGGTGTCCGTGGACATCTGAGAGCCTTTACGTCTCAGTTCAACTCCAGCTTGAGTTGCTATGGCTGAGAGAGAGAGACAGAGAGACGGGAAGGAGAGACACAAGCGCAAACACTCAGTGACGCTTTACATGCGAAGCTTTCGCAGGAGGCCATGACAGGGATTACCGACAAAGAGATCTTCAGACAGGCAGAGCAGTAAAAAACACCCAATCATTTGTGACTCTGCAGCACAAAAGCAGTGTTGAGTCGCTGGGGGATATTTGTAGCAATAGCCAACAATACATTGGGTCAAAATTATAGATTTTTCTTTTATGCCAAAAATCATTAGGATATTAAGTAAAGATCATGTTCCATGAAGATATTTTGTAAATGTCCTACCGTAAATATATCCAAACGTAATGTTTGATTAGTAATATGCATTGCTAAGAACTTAATTTGAACAACTTTAAAGATGATTTTCTCAATATTTAGATTTTTTTTGCACCCTCAGATTCCAGATTTTCAAATAGTTGTATCTCAGCCAAATATTGTCCTCTCCTAACAAACCATACATCAATGGAAAGCTTATTTATTCAGCTTTCAGTTGATGCATAAATCTCAATTTAAACCCTTATGACTGGTTTTGTGGTCCAGGGTCACATTTGCTCTAATCTGCTAAATGCGACTGTAAGGCATGAAGATAATGAGATGTTACAAACATTAACATCACGATTTTCTGTAAAACTGCTTTTAAAAAAATGTGCTACATAAATATATTTGAATCGATTCTTTGATTGATTTTTTTTAACATACGACAAAATATTATAGTTGATTATTTTATAAAATAGTGTAATTATAATAATAACAATAATCATACTTAATATTTTTCTAATACAATACAAAATAATAAAGTTAATTAGCTTTAATAAAATATTAAATCAAAATACCAATTCACATTGGTAAAAACATGTAACGCCATCAAAAGCATGCTATTAAATAGTTTTAGCTTGATTTTTAGGTCAATAGCAATAATTAGTGGATAAATTGCATGAAGTTTTATTACACAGGCAAAATATGTAGATGCATCGAGACGACTCAACTTTAAATGCATATGACATTGAGAGAAATAAAAATTTTGGACATTTTAATAATTACATAAGATTTAATACTTAAGATTTTTTTTTATATTGCATAAATATTGCATTTATTTGATTAAAAATACAATAAAAATTATGAAATATTATTACAGTTTAAAATAGCTGTTATCTATGTGAATATCTGTTAAAGTGTAATTTATTTCTGTGATGCGCAGCTGAATTTTCAGCATCATTACTCCAGTCTTCAGTGTCACATGATCTTCAGAAATCATTCTGATATGCTGATTTGCTGCTTAAAAATATTTTTAAAAATGTAATTATTTCAAACCTCTGATTTAAATACTAAGTGAAACCTATGAAAGTGAAAACGTCACTACGTTTAACCGTTATTACATACTATCCATCATTTGTACCTATAAATATTCACGTTACAGAAGATTTATCCTTCCACAAGAGTTTATTACATGTGTTTGACAGGATATCTGCATAATTTCATTTGCGGTAGGAAGCGAGAGCTAATCTAATGGGTCTTTTGCTTCAGCAGCACGCTTGCATCTATTTGGAGGGAACGATCTTGTTCAGATCACGCAAAATTGCATTGCAGTGCCATAAAGTTCAATCGTGTTTGTATGCGAGAACAGAACACGCTGTTCGACATCTCCTGGTCAGTCTCCCTGTTATCAGAGCATGTCTGTTGGATTTCATGTCAGACAAACGTTGATTAAAGGCCAATTTCTATAGTCCAGCATCCTAAATTAAGACAATAAGGCACAATACGGCTAAAACGAACTGCAACAACAACCACGACATGCAGAAATATCCATACAAAAACATAAAAAGAACCAATGAAAACTGAGGAAATTAATAAAAACGCTGACGTAAAACAAAAGCTGTCAAATAAACGCTGGGCAAAAACTCAAAATAGGATTGGTTGGTGTGTTTCTTTGGAGAAGATCAGTTAGTAGAGGTCCTTCAGGAGATGGTATGGTAGGAACTGGTTTTAATGATGGTGGGTAAGTTGAATCAAGGAGAAGGATCAAGCGCAACAAACATTCTCGGCCCACTTCAGGATCCTGAATATTTGTTGCAGCTGAGCCAATGAGATTTGGGCAGCAGTCAAAACACTCCCCGGACCTTTAACTCAAGCAGTTTATGCGCAAGTCTCTTGCCCCAAGAAAACAAGTACTGCAACAATGGACGAGTGACAGTGTCAACGAAAGAAAACCAAAAAGATGGAAGTAAACAAACTGAAATGAACCAAATAACTGCAACTGGTAAAGCTTGTGTTCCTACTTACAAGATTTATAAGAAAGAAGAATTTGGAAAAATGTTGCTGCAAGATAACAGAGATAAAATGGAAACAAATCAAAGAACAGCAGTAGTAGAGTTCAGTAAACTATTCAGACGTTTCGTTCTGCTTTCGTGCTTTTAAAGACACAGGGAGACCATTAAAAAGAGTTTCGGTTACCCATCATGCAAAAATGAAAACTGAACAAAAACAATGCAAGTGAAATAAAGATGTGCGCAATGCTATTAACAACTCCACAGAATGATTTCAATCCATTCACTGCATAAAAAAATAACACTAGATTAATGACACACATTCTCAACAGTGTGATACACAAATACTGTCCAGGTGCCCGAGTAGAAACTAACCTAACCATGTTAGAGAGCTGAATGTTAACATATCATAAATCTACTTTCACTTAACATAGAAGTTTAAAAACAAATTTGATTGACCAATTTCAATTAACTGACTGATATTTGTCTGATCATGTACTGTTAAAGGAATAGTTCACCAAAAAAAATGAACATTTGCTGAAAATATTGCATCACTTGCTCACCGACGGATGCTCTGCAGTGAATGGGTGCCGTCAGAATGAGAGTCCAAACAGCTGATAAAAACATCACAATAATCCACAGATAATCCACACCACTCCAGTCCATTAGTTAACGTCTTGTGAAGCCAAAAGCTGTGTGTTTGCAAGAAACAAATCCATCATTTACACGTTTTTAACTTCAAACCATTGCTTCTGGCTAAAACATTAGCACATAATCTATAATATCAATATAATAAAGTGCATCTCCTGTTTAAAATCCACACACATATTCGTTTAGAGCTGTTTTGGCTTGTAAACCGTGCTTGATCTGTGCAGATTTCTCTCCTGATTCAGACCAGACCACTTTTTCACTGGAGGAAGCGTTATTATGGATTATGGACTCGTACTTTAGCTGAAAGCAACGGTTTGAAGTTAAAAAGACTTTCTCGAGATGTTAACTAATGGACTGGAGTGGTGTGGATTACTTGTGGATTATTGTGATGTTTTTATCAGCTGTTTGGACTCTCATTCTGACGGCACCCATTCACTGCAGAGCATCCATTGCTGAGACACTGATGCAATGCTACATTTCTCCAAATTTGATGAAGAAACAAACTCATCTACATCTTGGATGACCTGAAGGTAAGCACATTTTCAGCGAATTTTCATTTTTTTGGGTGAACTTTTCCTTTAATACAAGTGCTTGCACCAGTTTAAAAAATGTATCAATGGACAGTGCGTGTTTTTCAGTTTTCAAAAAGTGAATTTTGACTTAATATTGTATAAAATATTGTGTTCACTGAACTTAAGCAATTCTCATCTCATTTGGGAGACACTTTAAATCCAAAGCGACTTACATTGCATTGATGTATTCATTTTAACTGGGAATTGAACCCATGACCTTGGTGTTGTTTGTGCCATGCTCCACTGTTTGAGCTACAGGAATACAATTTGCTGTTATTAAACTGAATTATAAATGCAATTTAGGGTCTCTATGTGTGGCAAATCAGGTCAGGATGTTCATGTACAAATATTAAAATACATAACATTAAACCTCTCTAGATTTGCAAGATCTCAAAATTCAGATTGACTTTTTCACAGCATCTACACTAGTGTAACAACACTGGAGACAAACCCTGAATGTGGTACAATCTTGCAGGTAGGAATATTTTATAAAAGAAAAGGAAATAAAAACAGCCTCAACAGGTAAGATAAGTAGAGAAATGAAAAACAAATGAAAACAGGGTGACCGTAGTATTGATTATAACACTCATCACAGTCTTACCGGTCATGCTGCTGTCTCTGCTCAGGCCGGAGTGGAGTTTACAGTGGACCAGCGCAGCGTCAAACAGCCACTGGCCAAACAGATTGAGCACGCTGTTGACCTTCGGCCGGGTTGGGGCCGGAAGTGGCCGCGGCTCGGAGCTCGTCTGGTTTGGGCTGGAGAGCGGGGATGTGGATGATGTCTGGTGCGACACTTTGGTCTGACCAGTCTGTGGAGTGGAGCGTAAATTACACAGGTTTTTAGAAGTCAACAATGAATAATGTGAATTAAGGCTGCACGATTAAATGAAATTAAATCGCAAAGGTGATAAATCGCGATTAAACAGAAGCTGCGATTGTCATGCGTATCTTTCAGTGAAGCACGTTTCTGTGATCAGTAGTAAATCTCCGAAGGCTAGAGGGCGCTCTTGCACTGGAACTCCAAATACACCCCGCAGAAGAAACTCAGGAAATCCCTATAGCGGTTGCTGAATAAACAGAAGATTTAACTGCTTTCATTAATTCAACGTGACTAATAAACACACGACTACGACAATATACTGTTTATCTGAGTTTGTCGTCTTATAATTTTTATTATAATAAAGTATATAATAATGCAATGCTAATCCACAGTTTTTATCACTGCTTAGAATACTATGAAATATGTTGCGTGCCTTATTCTGTGTAAGAAGCCACATCATCTCACAGAAGGATTTCAAACACTGGACTGATTTTATAAAGTGAGTTGAGTAAAAACATGTTATTAAATGTGGTATTTTCACGTGCTTTCAGATGGAGCAGCATTTACTACACGGAGCCGTAGTTCACTGACAACCTACGCAAACAGCTTTCATAATCCAAAACAATTTCTTCGATTTCATAATCGCGCGATTAAATCGTCTGCGATTATGAACGTGATTTTGCGTAGCTTGTCAGTGAACTACGGCTCTGTGTAGTAAATGCTGCTCCATCTGAAAGCAAGTGCTGGAGATTTACTACTAATCACAGAACCGGCTTTACTGACAAGATACGCATGACAATCGCATTCAGTTAATCGAACGTGATTTTGCGTAGCTTGTCAGTGAACTACGGCTCTGTGTAGTAAATGCTGCTCCATCTGAAAGCAAGTGCTGGAGATTTACTACTAATCACAGAACCGGCTTTACTGACAAGATACGCATGACAATCGCATTCAGTTAATCGTGCAGCCCTAATGTGAATTAATGTGAAGCATTTCTGAGTGAAACAGGATAATAAACAAAAATACAGCTGCAAGCAGCGATTATCAGGGTTCAAGCGCTTTAAGGCAGTTAAGCACATATGAAAAAAGACATTACGTATTATTTAGCATGCCGGTTACTTTTTGGCAAATCCATGTAGTTTACCATAGAAATATGATGATTTTTAACATTTATGACTGTTATAGCACCACCTATGCTCGGACTGGAGGAGTTCGCAAATAAATAATGTCAAATATTTATAGAGCAATCTGATCAACAGCAGTGGTCCTACAGGCAAAGTTGTTCAGAATGAGGAGATCGGCCGTACAATATGAAGATCTTGAATATATGAACATTTTTTACAATTTGAGGTCATTTATATACCATAGAAATATAGGGCTTTTGAAGCCATTTTAACGGTTATAGCGCCACCTATGGTCCGATCTCTGTGAAACTTTGCATGCTTGTTTAGAATCATCAGTCACATGTGCTTAGGATTTATAGACTTTTCTAAACGACCCTGTTATAGCTACCCAAAGGGTAAAGTTTTTTATAATTATTGGCCTTAATTGTACTGCAGTGTTTTTTTTTTTTAAGATTGAGCAAAAAACCAAGGAATAGTTTGCAAAAGCAGGTTTTTTACAACTTCTCAATCATTTAACAAATTATTTGATTGACAGCAGTGTTTCTAGAGGCAAAGTTGTTTGGAATGAGGAGATCTATCATATGATATGAAGATATTGTATATGTGTGATTTTGCCTCCCAGAGGCCGATTTCTTTCAAATTTCTCACAGACCTTTAGGGTCATGAGTTAAACAGGCCCACCAAGTTTCGTTCCGTTCGACCTCTGCTGACCTTGTCTAATAGGTGCTCAAAATTCAATGGCCAATGGCAGCCATGCTTTTTGAGAGACACAAATGTCCTTATAAACACTTGTGGCACTTTGGACAAAGACACTGCATACCAATTTTCATGTCGATTGGACAAACGGTTGCGTAGTTATAGCCATTTAAATGTTTTTTCCCCCCTTTTATAACGCCTCCAAGTGGCCAAGCTCCACGACGATTTAGGAGTTATGAGCAATTTCATACTTTTGATCGCTGTAGCACCCCTGTCAGGCCGATTGGGGCGAACCTTGGTGACATTGTAGACGGTGTGAGTACTACCATCCCTCCAAGCTTCAAGACTCTACGACTTACGGTTTGCTCTGCCCGATCAGTTTTAGGTGGAGATCGCTGATCCTTGGCCATTCTAACAGTTAAAATAGGGCTTCAGCGCTCTGCGCTCGAATCCCTAAAAAGAAAAAGGCAGGGCAAAGAGCTTCTGTTTTTTATGGTCGTACCGTTGAGGTTTTGCTGGTTGTCTTGACAACAGCGGTGGGGCGGTGCCTGCGGTTGTGAGGGGGTGTAGTGTTGGTTGTCGTTGGGGGCGTCGGCATACTGAGCCGATTGACAGGTGTGGGCGGAGCACTGTCTGACCTGGGGCGGGAAATACCTGAGAGACAAATCAAACAGGTGGAGAAGCAAGAAAACCAAAGAATTAAAACCAATGACACATCAGAGATCACAACTGGACTCATATTCAGCCATAAAGCACCTGCCAACATGCCTAACTTTGATTTATTGCAGGACAATATCTCAGCAGATCCATTTCAGCCCTAAAATATGAGAAAATGCAAAATGAAAGAGGCTTTTCAGATCACAACCAAACATCTTCTTGGATTTTGCCATTTCAGCATCATCATCAGCAAGGCCAAACTATTCAGCTCTGTGAAACACAATCACTAAAAAAAAATGCAAATCTTGATACAGGCTGTATAATAGATATTCTGAACCCTTTGTTGCATAAAACACTTTGTAAAATGAGCATGTATATCCATGATGCTTCATGGCGAGTACTGATTGGGTCAGTAATGCAAGATTCACCAACTTTAAAGGGATTATTCACAAAAATAAAAATTCATCATCATTTACACTCTCACGTTGTTCAAAACCTGTATGACTTTCTTTCTGTGGAACAACATCAAGTTTTCACTTCACAAATTACAAATGCCATTGGTTTTCACAAGCTAAGAAGGAAAAACTGCCAACAAATAACAACTTAAATATGGCGCAGATGAATGGACCTACTTCTTCATAGCTTTTAGTCCTGATCACTGTCTGCTTTTATAGTATGTAAAAGAGCAGCGTAAACATTCTGCTAAACATCTCCTTTTGTGCTCCACTGAAAAAGGAAAGTCGCATGGGTTTGAATCGTCAAGATGGTGAGTAAATGATTTCGTTATCGGGTGAATTATTCCTTTAATCCACACAATAATCTTGAATTACACAGATGTTACACAGAGAAACACAGATGTCCCTCGCATTATGAGCCTTCATTACACTTCTTGAAGTTACAGATTGAGAAAAAAAATGAACTAGAATGGACAATAATGTTATATAATTAGATTTTTCCTTTGCAAACGATACTTAATGAAAAGGCAGACAAGGTTAGAAACAATGTTGCATCCTAATTCTAATCCTTTTCTTCCATAACTATAAAGTATTGTGTGTTAAGCTTTCAATTAATTAGTTAATAATAATAATGAATTTTTTTTAAAGGTGCCTTTCAAAACACTCAAGGAGACTGCACAGTTGAATGATAATAAAGTACAATAAACCAACAACTGCTTAATATTAAGACTCGTTTTGAGTTCATAACTGAGTTTAGCTTATAACGCGAGGAAAACCTATTCACAGCATTTCAAAACTTTTCAGAGATGCAATGAAATGCAACCACTAGAGAAAAAGACCATACAGCATCCCAGCTCAGCTGCTGATTGGCAGTAAATGCTGGAAACCCCTGCATTCAAATTTGGTTACTTGCCTAAAACCTCTGTGGACATACTGATTGGCCAGCAAAGGAAACTGATCTCCCTCTTAACATCCTATGTTCCAGAAAGCGCCACAGACATTTAAACCAAAAGAGTTTATTGATTGTTGCTTGTTAGTGGAAAGCTGATATTTTAGAGCCATTTCATCATGTATACCTCCACCTCACAGATGGGATATTAAAGACCCCGTATTAAAGAAACAGGAAGTTGGAGCAGGACGTCAAAGGCCTGGTCGCCTGTTTTCAAATATCCAATAGCCTTTAGCTTATGTCAATATCACACTGACTGATTATGACTCAAATTAAATAAATGACATCCACTTCCTAGATGGCTGAGAAATAAAGTGCACACTGAAGATCTGTAATTTACAGATATTGATAATGCAGGGGAAAAGGACATTCTCTTTTAAGAGAGAATCTAATTGGACAAAAACATTATTATAAAAAAATGAAAGTATATATACATAAATATATATATATAGAGAGAGAGAGAGAGAGAGAGAGAGAGAGAGATGCTGTCAAACGATCAATCGCATCCAAAATAAAAGTTTTTGTTTACATATTATGTGTGTGTGTACTGTGTATATTTATTATGTACATATAAATACACATACATGCATGTGTATATTAAAGAAAAATATGTTAAGTTTATACATAATATTTATATATAATATCAATTATATGAATATAAATATATACATGGAAATACTTTCAGGATATATACTGTATGTGTGTATTTATATATACAGGTGCATCTCAATAAATTAGAATGTCATGGAAAAGTTCGTTTATTTCAGTAATTCAACTCAAATTGTGAAACTCGTGTATTAAATAAATTCAATGCACACAGACTGAAGTTTACTGAAATAAATTAACTTTTCCACGACATTCTAATTTATTGAGATGCACCTGTACATAATAAAAATACACAGTACACACACACATATCATGTAAATAAAACTTTTATTTTGGATGCGGTTAATCGCGATTAATCGTTTGACAGCACACACACACACACACATATATATATATATATATATACATATATATACATTTATATATATATACATATACATATATATATATACATATATACATATACATATACATATATACATATACATATATACATACATAAGTCCATATTTTAGTTTTTTTAAAGAAAGACATTTTTACATTTTACATTTAATCATTTAGGAGACACTTTCATCCAAAGATACTTAAACATGAGGATAATAGAAAAAATTATAAATTGTAAATAAATAAAATAAAAAATTTTTTTTTTATTTCAAATTACATTGTTAATTTAATTGTAAAATTTTACACATGCATGTGTGTGTGTTTTGTGGCATAATCTAGAATAAAATTTTCTCAAAGCTACAGACAGAAACTAAATGTCACATTTTAATTTCATGAGGTCTTTAAATCAGTGCCATTTAAATGCCAGTTTGATTTTGTTTCTAAACAAAGGACAGCTGGAACAGAGGCAGACGGGATACCAACCAATAAGTATGCTCACATTCATTCTGGGCAACGATTTACCAATTGCATGGGAGCAAAAACAAGGCACTTAACAAGGTAATTAATGATGGATAATTGATTTCCACAACACACAGGAATTTTTGATCTAAAAGTGATTGTGTATGAACCAAACACCTTGCAAAATCTACAATCCTCATCAAACTCCCTCTTGATTAGTCAGAGGCGCGTTATCAAATACCATAAGATGGGAGTCTGTCTCGAAAATTGTTCCGCGAGACAGCAACACCTGGGAAAAAAAATGGGATTACACAGTAACCTCAAAAAGGAAGAATTACAACACACATTATGAACATAATTTTAGAAGCTCCAACTAGGAAATTATTTTTATTTCTGTCCCTAATCAGGATGTGCGAGTTGCACCCAAACACCTCCAGAATCAGTGTGTTGGGTAGTTAAGCCCACTGTTAGTCACTAACTGATTGGATTTGGACAGGTTTAGTGTACCTATAGAGGGAAGTCTGTCTCGAATATTGCTCCTAGACACTGTGACCCCTGAGAAAACATAAAAGAAGACCACTGAAGAAATGTTAGAAATTTATATGGACACAACAGCACTGAGCATGTGCAGTTATGATTAAAAACTATCACAACTAACTAAAACGAGATGCGACAGTCTGGTCACAGACAGTGGAAGGTCAGACATTTTGCTCGCTATATTCATTCTCAGGACAAATTTTGACTAAACATTCACTTAAAAACAAGAACTAATTGCTGCACTCAACAGCAGACAGAAGCGTCTCACATACTGTCTGTATGAACAAATTAAGTCATTTTAGGCCTGGGCGATAAAACGGTATCGATATTTATCGACGGTACACCTTATTTGATAACAATATAAAAAATGTTCGATATAGTGCACGATATTGAGTGCTGCGCCTGCTTGTGATGAGGAGATTGTGAATAAAAAAAATGAATATTAGTCGAATTTAAAATAAACATTTGCATTTGAATGTTAGGAGTGGGTCAGGGAGCGTCATCAGTGACGTGAGATGCGGTGATAATGTTGTAAGTGACGTTGTTGCATTTTAATGTTTTGCTAGTCTTGCCCACGAGATGGGCCGCTGCTGTGTTATTCATTCAAAATATTAGAGAAATATAGAAGCTCAATGCGGAGAAGATCTTGATTAGGTTAAAACCGAAACCAAGCCATTCACACTGAACGCATATTCAGTGCATTTTTTAGACGGACAAATATGACTGCTGCTCTCACGTCTCACACAAGAGATGTAGCCATGCAAAGTTAAAACAGTTTAAACTTTTAGAAAACACGTCACGAATTTGTGGAGGTTTATTCCTTTTCACTGCGTCTCTTATGTTTTTAAAGGCAATCTGCGTGATGGGCGATTCGGCTCTTTGTATTAAGCAATGCATAAATACTTGATGCTGTTTTGTTCATAATTGTTTATGCAATTTACGAAATTATATTCGATTTATATAAGTTAATTTAGACGTAATGCACGTTTTTTTTATAGACAGTTATTTCCATGCGTTGACAATATTTGTTAAATTTTTATTGTGTGTTTGACTGTTAAAATAAAAAAATATTTGTTGTTTGTCTCAATAAATTGGGTTAATTTAAAAATACAGTGGTTAAATAAAAAAAAACATTCTATTGCTCTTTGTTTTAAAAAAGGTTATAAAAACTGTCAATAATTATCGATACCGAACGATATGATACATTATATCATTGATACATTTTTTAGCTATATCACCCAGCCCTATGTCATTTTAATTAAATAAAATGTTCTATTCAGTTTAAATTCTGATTTTTAAATGCCTGAATGTGCTTGAACTTATAATTAAACCAAAAATCCAATAAACCAGACTGTGCTCTGCTTTCAGAATGAAGTAACAGCCACAACGTAGTTTATAGACTGACTTGATACCCTTTTTCCATCGAAATGGTGCTGATGCTCAACAATAATGGCCGAGTCAAACATACCACATTGAAATTGCTGTTCACAAGTCTTTTACTCCTAGTTTTGACAACCAAAGTAAATTAATGCAGCTACTTTATGAACACAAACTGGCTTTGATGTAACAATTAGAGGATTCTTTAAAGATTTTGAAAGAAGAATTTTTTTTGCTCACCGAGGCTGCATTTATTTGATCAAAAAAGTAAAAATTGTGAAATATTATTGCATTTAAAATAACTGTTTTCTATGTGAATTTACTGTAAACGGTAATGTATTTCTGTGATGCGCAGCTGTATTTTCAGCATCATTACTCCAGTCTTCATGATCTTCAGAAATCAGTATAATATGCCGATTTGCTGCTTAAAAAACATTTCTGATTATTATCAATGTTGAAAACAGTTGTGTTGCTTCTTGTTTATGTTAATTATTCCAAACTTTTGACTAGTAGCATATTATGTAACAAATAAAATTCATAGCAATCACATGTGTTATTTGTAAATGAAACCATTTCAGATGAACTAGAAAATAGAATATGTTGAGTAGGAGTTCATCAAATGAATCTAAATCACCACAAGCAACATTATGCACTTGCAGAGCAGTCACCAGCGCCATGTCGGTGGAAAAAGGGCTAAAAGTGATAATGATAAGAGAACAGCACAGTTGTGTGAGTACCACAAGAGGGCAGAGTTTCACGACACTCGAGTTTCTTAAAAACAGCAACACCTAGAAATGGAAAAACAGTCAAAGACAATGTTCACACATCACTGCAGGACTGAGATTCAAACAGAATGATCAGGAAAATCCCATCACAAACACTAAAACAACATCTGAGATTATTGGTTGATTGCGGTTTTAACATCATGCCAGCTTCCTTGACCATTTCCATGATAAGTAGCAAGTTGAAATGCTAAGAAACAGCCATTTAAAAAGGTTTTTAAAGTTTACTTTGGATAATAATTCTAAAAATGGATTCAGGATTGACAGTGTTTGCTGAGTAATATAATTTACATCTGAGATGAATATGTAGTGCAACAAAAAACAAACAAACAATGTGTATATGTAGAGGCTCTGTTGCACATCCTATGGTACTGAATGATTACCACATTCATTTACCATAGTATTTATATGCTACTTTATGGAATATCACGGTAATACAACCACAGTAGCATCCAATAAACCAATGCAATTCATAAGAGAGCCTTGTAATGTGGTGCACAGTCAGATCTTACCGAGGAAAGCGTCCACGAGGCAGCTGACGCCCCTCATTGCTCTGAAGAAGATCTGAGGCAGCTGTTTGAGGCAGGGGTGCTGA